GGTGGTTCCCGTATGACGGACCTGACCTCCAGCATCCCGAAGCCGCTGCTGCCGGTGGGCAACCGGCCCCTGCTCTGGTACCCGCTGAACCTCCTGGAGCGCGCCGGCTTCGAAGGTGAGGCACGACGGTGGCTTGAGGTGGGGGTGGAGACGACTGCTTACCCTGGCCTCTTCAGGCTTCCCGGGACCACCTCTGCCACTCCTGTTTGTGTGTGTCCCCCCCCGCCCCCGCGTTATTCTAATGTCTTGTCGTAGGTGCTCTGTTGATCGGGATAGTTGTTTTAGCAGGAGGTCTCTTTTCTGCACTGGAGCTATGCTATTGGCCCATGTCACATCTTTTCCTTAACTGTAGGCTGTACCTCCTGTGCCTGCACCTCCTTCCCCCTCTTCTCTCCTCACCAAGACTTTTCCCATCTATATGCTTTTCCCAACATTGGTGTCTTTCCCAGTGTTGTTAACCGGGAGTCTCTCACTCGTTTCTTTCCTGAATCATTAATGAGAGTGGCGTGAGAAGCCAGTTGGGATATCAGCTCTCTTGGGATATCGTTTGGTTTGTTGTTTCAGTCTGGCCTGAAGTTCAGGGTTACTTGTTCTGTCTGAGGCATTTAGTCCTTGTTGTTGCAGCGTGGAGCCAAGTGCTAGGTTTTGGACAGAACAGGGCAGGGGGAAGTGGCAAACTGGTAATGCTCGCCTGTGGGCCTTGTTTCGTGGGAGGGCTAAAACAGTATTTAGTACATAGTGAGGTTCTTTACTACTTTCTGGGCTTAGGTTTTTGTTTACCTTTTGAGTAATGGACCAAATCTTTCTGTGGTGTTCCCCCTGCTACTTATAAAACTTCCTGACACCTTTCATGTCTCTGTTTTTTCATGTTTGTATTTGTCCTTTGCTTTTCTGTTTTTGCTTCTCCTGAGTGACTGTGCGATTATTCTATACTCCATCCCAAGAATGTGGCTTTTTTCCTGACTGCTTTTTTTTCTCTATAAAGATGTAATGATTGGCTCATGGTTATCCATGTCAGCTTCTTACAGTTTCAGTGTGAAGGAACAAAAGAAAGAGCAAACTTAAGACTTTGCCTTTATTTTGTTTCATTAAGAAATCGTTAAGAACTTTTTTTCCCTTGGAATTGCTTTTTGCCTGTTGCTTAAGTCTGCTTTCTGAATGTCCACTTTCTTTGACTGTTCTCCTGTCTCTTTTTTTGCTAGGATCGCACTTTTATCCAGTCATATCCCAGTCATATAGATATATGGGTAGCTAAAAGCTTCTCTGTAAAACAGTCTTGTGCTTTGTGTGGCTCTTTATAGCTATTCAGAAATATCCATTTCCACTTGATGCTCTTGACTAAGGTGGTGTTATCATCAGATCTTTCTCCTTTCTCACACATAGCTCTTCAACTTATCTATCCCCTACGAAAATTTGGACATGCAGGGTTGTACATGCAGCTTCAGTAAGCAAGCTGCCACCTTCCTGCTCCTCTCTTGCTTCTGCTCCTGACCAAACTGTACGTTTCTGTGTTAATACTCCAGTGGCATGAATTCTCTCCCTGGATCATAGTTCTAAGTATTACAGGAAGCTTTAGTTCCTCATACTTGCTTATATTAGTAAGTAGGTGTTCCACAGTCTGATTCACTGCATCCTTTCTGTCCCAACTGCAAGTGCTTCATCTCTCCTAATAAATATTAGGAGACCTTTGTCCAGCTCACCAGATTTATGCTGAACTGTGGGCTTATAACTTCCACTGACACCAATTTCTTCTCCATCGGTTGCTTCTTTCCCCAATTCAAGATGTGCTTTCAATCCCTTTCTCTAGGTTCTTCAGCCTGTTTTGAATCCAAGTGGGCATCCGGTACGGGAGTGGGAGGGGAGCCCTCCCGTATCTCTGGTAGCAAACTGCCACACGATTCTCATGTTTACAGTTCCTTCCTCTTTTCTGTTAACAGATTCAGGATGAGTTCAGTTTTGGATGATACAGATTTATTCTTAGTGTGTTTTCATCTTGCCACAGGAGCTTCCTAGGCTGAGGGCTGTATTATTTCCCATACTTCTCTATTAAAATTCCATGTGGAATATGACGTTATGGTGTTGGGGGTTTTTTTTGGGGGTGGGACATTTTAATTTGAGGGTTTGACTCTTGCTTTTCCTTCCCGTTCTTGAGGCCAGGGGAAAAGGTTTCTTGCTTTTTTGTTTTCTCAGTCTTTTCTTTGCAGAGCTTCTGTTCTCGCATTCTTCATTTTGGAAAATACGCTTTCATGCCACTGTTGGTATCCTTCAAATATGCATTTACCTTTTTTGTTTTATAGATGGAATGAGTTTGTTGCTCACATATTACTTCACTCCCTTGCCAAGCTGGTGCTGGGAAATAATTTAATGATTGTATTGTAATACTGTGGTTGGTGGCGTTGTCCACAGAGGATACAGGATCAGGGAGGGCAAAAGACAAAGCTCTAAAGTGATAGTGACATTAATGCAGGGTCTCATTGGTCTGTTTCAGGACATATGGTTTGAGGTCACTCGCTAACGATAGAAGACATTTCTGTCTTGTCTTGCTATACTCATGGCACTCACATGCATGTGTCCCTTTCAGTAACAACCCTTCACCCACACAAAGCAGGAGAGATTGTTTTCATATTCATTAGGAGTTTAATTATCTTCTTATGCTATTTGTGATTAATTTTTTTTTTTTGCTTGATCTCATCCCACTTTCCTCTGTCCTAGAGGTCATTGTGATTACAAGGAAGGAAATCCAGAAGATGTTAAACTTGGACACAAAAATGAAGCTGGATTTTGTGTGCATCAGTGACAACATGGACATGGGTACAGCAGATTCACTGAGGCATATTCACCAGAAAATAAAGGTATCACTGTCTCTTATTGAACTTGACTGGAAGACATTCGTTTATAATAGTATTTTTTTCCATTGTGCTTTAAGAGCTGTCCCGTGTAATGATATTGCGAGTAACTGAATTTCCTGATCTTCAGAAGACTTGAATTTTGTAAAGGTCACCTCATGGAGGAACTCAAACAAAGGCTCTAAATGACTAGAATTGACAGCTAGGAAGGCTGGAGCAGATCCAGGCTGGGCACTGGCTGCTTCTTAGTCACTGTTAGGCTTTCTGGCAGGTTAATTAAAAAGCTGTAGTTGTTCATACAGTTTTTGATATGATGTGTGATAGCTGTTGTCCACATAGTGCTTGGGGAAGTGTTCTGCACAAATGTTCATTGTCGCCTTAGCTTAGGCAATACACTGATATGTAAGGAAGCTTATGTTCAGTTCTTGGCCCTGCCACAGGCTTGCCTGCACCGTTAGGCAAGTGACTTGCTCTGTGCTTCAGTTTTCTGCTTTTCCTATGCTTTTGCTGGCTTGGTCATATGGTAAGCTCTTTGATAAACAGTGCCCAAATGTGATAAAGGGCTGCTGTTCTAATAAAAACGCCAGTTTATAGAATTTTAATTTCCAGCTGCACAATTAAAACACTCCCATGTAAGGCAGAAATGCTGCTTGGAGCTCTTACCACAATCTGGGATGGAATTTTGTTTTTGTCATTGTCATACACTTAATCTTTCTGATTTGTTCACTGTCTGTTTAGGCCATCTTAGCCAAATTGGCTGTTTAAATAAAGGTTGCAACAGAACATCAATGGACTGTTTAAGTCCTGAGGTGCCTTTTTGTCTTCAGGCTCTTTTTGAAGGTAATAAACTGCAGTATAACAGGCTGTGTACTCCCAAGAGAAAGGTTGCAGTTGAGACAAGATGAAACTTTCCAGGCAAATATGGGTGTCTAGGTGGCACAACGAGAGAGAGTCTGCAAGGGATTAATGCACAGACTAGAATAATTTAGAGGGTGAAGAGAAGATATAAAGAGGAAAAGCAAAATCAACAAAATCAGTTTAACTTAACTGAATGTTTCTGTCACGTGAAGAATCGCGCTCTGTCATAACTCAGTTTGGCAGTATTTTTTAAATACGTGCATGCAGTAAGGAAATATCTCTGCACTGCAAATTGTGACCCTGGCCTTACAGTTTTATTGCCTGATCGGAAATCAGTCCGGCTGTCTGTGTGTCCCTCTTTTTGGTAATCCAGGTGAGTTTGCTTAGAGG